AACATTTTCCAGCATACTATGCGTTAAGCCAATGTGGAATCTTGCTAAGATCACTCCAATCTGTGCAGCGGCCAACTGCACCAATACATATTCAGGTGCACGTGACGACAAGATACCCAGCGTATCCCCTCGTTTCAACCCCATGTTGATAAACCCAGTTGCCAAGGCGTTCACTTGCATTTGTAATTCTGCAAATGTTAGGCGTATCTTTTCAACTGGAAACACGTATGCTTCTTTATCCGGTATTTTTTCAACAACAGAATCTAGGATATCTTTAACGGTAACAGCTGCTAGAGGAACATTGGAAGTTGAGTGGTAATAACTCTTGTTTATTTTTGCTCTCAACATGATGTGATCTGCTGGTTTAACACTGTAAAAAATGAGAAATATAACATGTTTATTGACCTGATATGTAGTTGTGAGTGGCGCCCTCACCGGCCGAACGGCATCGTGGAGGGCGCAACTTACGCGACCTTGTCAGGCTACCACAGAGCGAGATAATAACAAGACCCGTTCTGTGTAACTAGATTAGTTCACAGATCACAGAGAATGAAAACAATAAGTTTTAAGTGTATTTCTTGCTTTCAACCAGATCTGGTCCGCCATTTGGACAGGCCATCTGTGCAGATTCAAATAAGACTTCTCTATTTATTTATTTATTTATTTTTGATTATTGTAAGATTTGTTTTCACACCATCTTATTTTTCAAAAGGCTACTAATATACTAATGACTTGTAGGCGTGAGTGGCGCCCTCGCCAACCGAACGGCATCAAAACCTACTAGGTTTGGAGCATCGTGGAGGGCACATTTCACGCGACCTTGTCAGGCTATAATGGGGGTTGACAATAAAATTGTTGGTAGAGAAATATTGTATTCAAAATGTGAGGGAACAAATTAAAGCAGTCATAAATGTCAAATATATGCACAAAAACGTGTAGAGTCCATATCTGATATGATCGTATTGTGAGATCAACCACGGAGTTAAAAAAAGAACCAACATTTTAGTTGGGGATATTTATTGGTTTAGTTGTCATTTAGTTTACGGTCTAATTGAAGCCAGACATCCAGGGTACTCCCTACGAACCCACGCGTGACGGTGTTGGGAAAAAGCTGCATTTCACCTCAGTTAAATTGATTGATTTGATTGGGCGTGCCAAGGAACTGGTTCCATTAATCAGCGTGCTTGAAACAACAACACCATGAATGTTAAATTTAAAACAACAGATTTTGTCTTATAATACGTCATAACTTAACCGACAAAAACTCGCACCAGAGTATTCGTTTGATTTTGTCAACAGTGAATACAGGTTTACAGTTGGAATTCTGCCAATGGCTAGGCGACGGTCAAAGTAAATGATCCTTCGGCTGGCGACGATGAGTGAGCTAGTTTAATTAAAAAAGTTGTTGTTATAACTTCATCAACCATGCAGGCGATTGTAGTGGGTTTTGAATTGTCCTTTTGCTTATTAGTGTTATATCTTGAATCGTGTATTTTTTTCAATTATTTTTCGTATATTGTTAATGGGAGTGTATTTTACTTGTTATGTAACCATTTTAATTCCTTCCGAGGAGTTTTAATCGTTCTTTAATAAATTCAATGGCACGGTTCTAGAAGCCGTACCTACACACGAATTGGTGACGTCATCAAATACATGACCTTCAATGGGGTCGTTTCCTTGATATATACGAATTGTTATATACAAATTACAATAAACATGCTTAAGACATTACACATAAGGTAAAACAAATCACGTGACAATATAATGATAATGATAATAACGGTAATAAATCCTAGCTTAACAGTTGAACAGAACGATCATATAGTCAGTCGGGTCACGCCGAGGGTCACGCACTTTGTTGCAAAATGGCCGTATGGTTGAAACTGGGTCATGACGTGACGGGTGAGGAAGACATCATTAATAATCACAATAAAACGGGGAAGTGGTTGCATATTACGGCGTAGCCAACATGGAAAATAAAAAAAAACGCTCAATACAAACGACATGGGTTCGAATCACACTAGATACACACTCACCAGAACCGAAGCAATCAGAAACCAGCCTACTTTTTGGCTTTCCCGTTCAACTCATCGGAACACTGGGGAGTAGTTAGAAAAATGAACCAACGTCGTGGCGTGGTACACAAGCGTGCCATCAAAATAAATCAAAATTTTGTTAGAAAGTTTCACAATTAAATCAAATATCCAATGATACCAGTATATTTATTTCATTATTTTAACAACTTGCAATGGTGGAAATTGGCAATTTTGTGGGCAATTGTAGCTCAATAATAGAAATATGGTGTATTTCTATATATATATATACACTATATAGTCTTATCAAATGCAAACACATCCAGTCAATCCATTGTGGTCTTGTGGGTCAGTCTACCCAGTCATCAAGAGGACCTGGGTTCAATTCCCATGCCTGCCAGTCTTTTCTCGCAAACACTAATTTGCAATAAAGCTAAATATGAAAACAAATCATTTATTTGTATGACTAACCATATGGTTCAGTGGATATGTGCAATGTGAGAGATCGCTGGCTCGAATCCAGTACTGTGAAAACAGTGCTCCTATAAGTAGGACTTAAATCCAATCACTTGTGTGAAGACACTCGTGGTACAGTGGACTTGATAGTGAGCTGGGAACTCAAAGATTGCAATTGTTCAAATCACGGTCGGGACACTCCTATAAGACAATATATCAAAGACGTTAAAAACATAAACAGCAACATTACTTCTGTGTATCAAGAATTCAAGTCAGAACACAAGAGTACTACCTCATAAGGAAGCCAGTCGAAGTACGAACACAGGTGACAGCTGTAGGTCACGTGCAACAGACAAGAAGAGCAATGCTGCTCTCCAAATGGGTACCTTCTTTTGTTTTGACCCCCTAAGGATTACTAATCCCCCTTTCTAACTCTTCCCCCCCAAAATAATATATCGCCCCTTTTGGAATGTATTGACCCACAATTAATGAATATTCATGAGCACAGAAACTGCTACGTCATGAATAAATTAGCATAATTAAACAAAAAATTGCATAAAGTGTATTTAACCTCAAAGCGATATCAGATTGAGATCTACAAGTAAGGGATGAACCATTTAAAATCTTGGGGACATCAACATGTTAAGCAAAGCGACATTTTTTTGAATTTTCCTTCTAGCTAAAATTCTTTTACCTTTCAAACTCTTTTTTTTTGGATCACTTATTCGACTTTACAAAAACAGATAAGAAACTTGAAAGGAAGTACTATGCTGGAAGGAATTGTACTAACACGTTCCTTTGATGTTAGTGTATTTTCATTGCTCATGTGTCAAATGTAAGAATGTCTTACTGACTCACAGGTGGGTATATGTATTACCAACTAACACAGATAAGAATGTATTTTCAAGGCAGATGAGAATGTATTACCAATATATAAAAATCAAAGTACAACTTTGTTTGACGGATTTCAATCAAACTTGGTATTATAGTGAGTTATTGATGTGAGCAATATTTTTAAATGGTCGACTGGCTGACTTTTCGTTTGTTGTTTCACATGTGTTTTTCTCAGAGTTAAATTTGATAAAAAAGCAAGAAATTATGGTTTGAATGTTGTCTCTCGTTTTGATGACTTTTGTCCACCTGTTGTAGAAAAATCAGTCTAATTTTCCGCTATGTAAATGCGAGATAATTTTATAAATAAAATTTGCCTGACCCTGGTTCAAGTCGAGCCAAGCCAAGTGTTGTATTTGCTTTGTACATCGTACGGTGTGGGTATTTGCGTATCATGCGAGTTGTGTGGTAGACGTGGCAAGTTTGTAAGGGCATTTAAGGCTATTCGTCACCTTGCTTATGCTGCAGAACCAGACTAATAGTACAACCAGCGTTACGTTTATATCTGTGTACAGACAGGACGAGTTTGTTGGTTTCAGTGTTTTTTCCTTTGCTGAATGGAACAGAAAGAAGTGACGGCATATAAACTTTCAAATTGGCTTGGTAATTGTGAACTGGTGTATCGTGGTCGTGTGGACGTACATTAATATTGGCAACTGGTGGTGGTGAATGGTTGCTATTATTATATCTACCCGGATCGGTTACACTGGTGGCACAGGCAGTGTTAGAAGCTCTATGGGCTTGATATGGATGGTAGCTGAAGTATCGTCGATGCCAAGATTTGAGGAGCGTGACAGAACACTGCAGAACTATAATAGGACACTGATACTGTAAACTTTATCACAGTTTTGTTTTGCCTTAATTTCCTGACCCGAAGGCCTTGTATGGCCCAACTCTTAGTTTAAGTAACTACATATTAAGCACAGTTTTGTATTTCACATAGATGGATAATAGATTGAAGTCGTTGATTTCCTTGATTTGTTAGTTAGCGTGATTTATTAGTGATAAGTTCTTGTGTACAAGTTTCATGTTAATTTCTAAGTATAAATATCTGTTAATGAGGTTTAGAGAATAAAATAGCTTAGTTAACTGCGTGGAATGGCCAATCGTGCGTGGCCAATCCTGATCTGTGACACCATCTAGTGGTCGTTTTTGTAGAACACATTTGTATCGCATGTTATTTCATTCCTGGGATAATTTAATTTTCACATTCTCGGCAGCTAATAATTTCGAATATTCGTGACAGAATCGTAATTTGAATCTTACATGTCTTCTTTATGTTACTTTTGCTCTTGCAGCCCATATACCGAATACTCCAACATTTAATATTAAACAAACAAGTTTCTGGTCAGTGGATGCAATCTGTTTAAGGGTATTTGTTTATTTCACCATACTCCCTGGTTACGTAAATATGGTACAAGAACTGATTCTATTATTATGTATATCGGAGTGAAAGTTATGTGTGACATTGCGTCAAGAGAGAATATTTGTTGGCATTTCGAAAGATTAAATTCGCAATTGTGTTACCAAAACACACATTTTTTGCAGTGTAAATGTGAATGCCCAAACCCAGAATTTCAAATGGTCTACCCCTAGTCGGCGAAGAACTGGAAAACGGTATCGATTATCCGGTGCCCGAGTTTGGCACAAAGTTTGGTGGTGACAAGAACTCTATTAGGCGTTCTGCAGATGTCGGAAATCGGTATACTTTTAGAAGTACGTATGTCTGTTTTGTTATACAGCTGTCATGAATTTGTTTTCGCGTATCTGTTGACCGACTTAATTAGTTGATTATTAGCGAATTGCTGTGTTATGTCTGTCATCGTTTAGGCCTATTTGAAGTTTTGGACGGAACTTGGCTCAGTGATTTGGAACTAATTACAGATAACCGCCGCTATTCTGACTAAGATTCTGACAGTTGGTATCCATAGTTATTAATGTAGTGAACGATTAATCAAAAGATATGACGTATTCAGTGCTTAGTGTGATT